GAATTGTTGATGCTATTATTGAACCTTCCATTTAGTAATGTGTTATGGCCTTTTGTCAACTTTCACTGTAAGGATGTCTTATGCTTCACTTTCTAGCCTATGAACAATGTTATATTATGTGTTGAGTACCCGAGTTTCATTAACTTTATACAATCCCATCCCTTAAACTGCTCTCCTCATGTTTTTGTGTTATCAAAAGGGCCCTATGTGGTATACTCTATCACTACTGGTATTATCTCATGTTTGAATGCATGAAAACAGCTTTGTATATGCTAGCCTAGCTAGCACCATTTCCTATCTTTTAGTGTAATTTTTTATGTATATGTCTGTTTGGTTGACTGGCGGGCTGAAAGCAATATGTTATTGTGACTACCTATAACTTCTTACTTTTCTTTCACGTGGGTGATAAATGTCAAGTTCAACCAGGAGACAAATGTGGTATTGTGAAATATGTTGGCCAAGCAGAAGATCTAGGCCCTGGTTTTTGGGTTGGAGTTCAGTATGATGAGCCATTGGGGAAGTATGATGGATTGTAAATAAATCAAATCCCTCAGCTATTGAACTTTCAGATGACCTGGTCTTACAATTCATAACCCTTGTAGTAACCATGTGTTTCTTTTGTCAAAAACATTCACTTGAAGATAACTAGTAATTCTTGCAGCAAAACGTAATCCATTGTATGTTAGGATTGTTCATTCCAGCTTTTCATGTTGCAGGGTCAAAGGAACTCGCTACTTTGATTGGTCCACCACTTCACGGTGCGATGGTTAGACCAGATAAAGTACAGGTTTTTATTTTACTAATCCAGCAATATTTTCTGTCACTTATTGGAAAGGACAATTAAGTCCTATTCAGCTACCATGATAATAGGCTGATAAATTAGTTGGTAGTTAGAAGTTTCATTAGGATTACTTGATTTATTGAGATAGATTTATTGAGATAGATTTGTTACCACACCCCTCTGCTAGCATACTCAATTATGCTAGAAAAATTGTTAGTATGTACAAGACATTCAATTTACCATGCCTTTATATATATATACAGTTTCATGCCTTTCTGTAAGTCCTGGTCATCTTTCATGAACTCAACCTCTTTTATGCCTCAATAGCTTACTGAGAATGCTAGTTATATTTAGATTTTGCTTTCCGAAAAAATGAGTTTGTTGCTGTGAATCTATCACGGGTATTGGGTAACAAGTAGATTTTTTTTTTTTTTTTCTTTTTGGAGTTTGAGTAGTTCTTTTCGATTGCCTCTCCAAATCCGTGTGCACTTTAGTTTAATAAATCTAAGCTTTCTGACTGATATTGCAAGTAGGATATTTTCTGGCACCCCAATGATATCAATACGTTACATTATATGTTATGAACGTTCATTTTCCACGTGGGAGACTTTCCTGAACGTGATCCATTCGAAGAAGAGGAGATATAGAAACAGGCCCAAACGGCTGATTTAACATCTAAATATTCTTATTTGTCAAGTATCTTTGCCGATGTTCTTCAATTGAGATAAATACATTTTTGACCTGCTAGTCTGCTACTGGAACAGAACTTTACTGGCCTTTCTGCAAGAAAATAGACGAAGATAAAAGATTTCTATCCAGTATTTTTTTGTATTTTTCCAAAATTGTGGATATATATATATTCCAGTATTTGTCTTGTCACCAGAATTCTACAACAATTGACTTAAAGATTTGCGTACATCAAATTGTACTTTTTTGTTCCTAATTTGAAGCACATTTTGTAGTGATTGTACAAATGTACTTATCAGTCATATATTTGTATTGTGCTTTTGGTCTAGACTCAGCATAACTTTCAACTATCAACCATATTTAGGGTATATTCTGTTCACCTTGTTTCAGGTGTAATAAGTTCAGATAAGTTTAGATCAGTGAAAATCAGGTGAATAGAACACACCCTTAATCACTGCTGCTATTGCTTGAATTCTGATAATAAATATCAGATTTGCATACACCCACAATATATTAGGATTGATTCTAATCAGATTTTCTAATGTCCAAAGCAAAACTCCTACTTCTGAAAAAGTTTTATCTAAGTACTAAAACCTTGTCTATTAGTTGAAGTTTGTTTATGATTAGAATTTAATTAATAAACTATTCATTGACTAGTTGTTCAAGGACACTATAACCTATTAAATGAGCCGTGCCTAGTTTATCTTTCAGATAAACAAAATATTTGTTTTTTGTTTATCTGGGGGTATGAGCGTCTTTTCATGTAATAGTTGAGGGATACATGTGTAATTTGCTAAATGCAAATTGTACAGATGTACAAAAATACTAAATAAATGACCACGCTTTTTTAATATAATTACAGAAATTGCCACCAAATTTTTACGAATTTGTTAATCTGACAGATAACTTGTATTTGCCCCTATTAATTGAATTGAGACTAAACAAATATCTAAATTTAGTTGAAATATTTGGTTAGTGTTGGGGCTAGCAATCTAGCATATGTTTTACGAACATGAACTTGTAACATAAGAACTAGTATAATAATTTGCATGAGATATTCATCATGTACTATAATTAAAAAATGTTATTATTTTTATTATTTTTAGAGTCGACAAAAGTTAACACGCACATGAAAAAGTGGGGTAATGCTAATAATTTACCACCCATCTAATTAAACAGCCACAGGTCAATATGACACAGTTAATAAAACCTGAAGAATCAATAAACGAGGGTTAATACGACATGACACATCTAATAGAGAACATACATCTGCACTGGAAATTCAGGGAGTTGGTGAAGGTAATTGTGAGGGGCAAAATTTTGGACAAGTTAAACATCTTGCAATGTCGTTGGAGGCAGAGAGTGGTGGTGTGCTTGTATCAATAGATAAAACTACTAGAGGCTATGCAATCATTCTATATCGAGGAAAGAACTATCAGCAACCTCTTCGGTCGAGGCCTAGGAATCTACTGACAAGAAGGCAAGCATTAGCTCGGTCAATCGAACTGCAAAGACGTGAGGTGAGCTCTGGTGATCTGTCTTTTATCATTTTGACATAACGAAAACATTCCTCTTACATTTGTCATACTGACTCACACAGGGACTGAAGCATCATATATCGAGTTTACAGGAACAGATGGAGTTGCTGAAGTCTGAAATAGTATGTATTCTTATTTATACGTATTATATACATATATTTTATTGCATCTTTGAAATAAAGTTTTAAGGTTAACCCACTTTTTTTATAAAATTTTGCAGGAAGATATGAGAAATGGAAAAGAGATTGATGATATGGCGTTAAAAACCTATCCTTCTGATGATGAGATGGAAGACGTAAGACTAAGGGCCTATTCTCATACGTTTATTTTCATTTCAGCTCAGCTCAAATTAATTCAGTTCAACTCCGCTCCGCTCCTAATTTCCTTCTCTTATAAAAAATTCAGTTCAGTTCAGCTCAGCTCAGTTCAGCTGAGTTCAGTCAATGAGAACAGGCCATAAGAGGGATTTTGTATGCTTGTACAAACACTATAGTATAATTTTGGCACTTATAGTGTGTCTTGATAAGGGGGGATTTGGAGGGAAGGGAAAGAGAAGGAGATTGAATGATGCATTTTTACATGGACATAATATGGGGAATAGTAGAATATTTTCCTTTCCATTTAATAAACTAAATCCATTTAAATTTTAAAAGCTCGAAAGATTTGGAAGGATATAAATGTCCAACTCTCTCTGCCCTCACTTCAATTCTCTATCCTGTCTTTCCCTTCCTTTAATGGTTGCTAAGAACACTAAACATACATACCATTAGTGTGGGAGGTAATAAGGCATTCAAGCACAATTTGGGTTGGAAAAGACTAAGAGTTGAGTGCTGATTTTTGGAATGGATGGGATCTTGCCCAAGGGATCCTTAATGTCACTGAGTTCTTGCTGATTAATTATTCAATTTTCTTAATTGTAGGATGAAGATGAAGAGGCCTACTTGCAAACATATTACTGTGGAGATGAAAATGGTGCTTTCATAGATGCCGAGTCGTCTCAAGATGATTTAGAAGCATAAAGTTATCGGACTAATTATCCAGATGTATGAAACTTACCAATGTACTCTGTATATAATATCTAAGATATATACAGAAAATTAACTTAAAGCAGTTCCATTCCTTTGGTATGATAATCATCATTCATTCATTTATTAGCAACTGTGTGCGTCACAACATCGGGACGAGTTTTAAAGAAGACTTTCCATGAATAGTTGTTTAAGCTATAAACAAAAATTCAAAGCTTTATACGAAGTATAATCCTGTTACAAACTATTTTCAGTCTTAAAAGCTGAAACTATTGCTTGTGCAGTTATAATGAAACCTGTCTTTTATCACAGAAATATGACATGCTGGTACCAGCTACCAAGTGAACCATGAGCTTAAAATCGCTGCGGAATAACAATGTTTTCTTAAAAATGTGTTGCTGGATTATACAGCCAAAACTCATCACCATTACACCCTTTTTTTCTCTGGCATCCGTGTGTAGTTTACGTTTATGGAAGCAAAGTAAGCCATTGTTAAATTGCTCCTGAAGTTTTAATGACAGACAGTACTACCACAGATGATTGATTCTGCCTGATTTCACAATTTCAATGGTTGCATCAGAAAATTTAACTTCATTATTTATTCATAATTTATTCCAACACGTACCCAGCACTCAGCAAGTACTGAACATTCTTGATGTCAATCCAACCAGAGTTAGCAGGCTAGGTCCTTTGGGAAAAGGGGGGAAAGGGTAAGGAAATCCCCACCCCAAAGTACTGCTAATGGAGAGGTTGTGAGATGTTGGTAGTTGGTGCCTTTGCAAAATCAATTTTTATGATAGTTTACAATGTAAAATTAGCAGGTAAATGTCTGTAGAATACATATTAGTTGGTGCATGTTGCAATCAGTATATAATACAGTGCGAGGAATCCTTAAATGTCGGAATTTGCAGGACCCTCTGTAAAACCTTAGCAGAAAAGGAAGCAGTTAAACTTGAAACATTGAACGGGTTGAAATCATCAATCAGGCAAAAAATTAGTCCACATAATGAACATCAATGGCACCTGTTATTACCATTGTTGACCAGCTAATACAAGTCTTTGATTTGGGGCATCATTTTTAGAAAATAGTACATAGCAATCAATACAAGTAGAAATGAGAACCAAAAACAAAGCAAAATTTCTTCTAATGCCACACAAACCACAGAGCGGTTATTATCCCTCCTTTCGCGAGTGAAACCCATGATTGTGGCATTCAAATATACATCAGTCTATTAATTAATAAATAACATGCCTCAGAATCACGCACTCACTTCTGCCTTTTCTTCTTCCTTCTTTCCATTTTTGCTCATTGTGTTAACACCTTGTTGCTCTGTCTTCTTTTGGGCACGAATCAAAGCTCTTCTAGCACGGGGCCTCATTTCTCGCACTTGTCTAGGAGGCATAATGTATGGCTCAAGGGGTTTATCAGCAAATGGGTGTTCATCGCCAGTAAATATCCTAAGTTTACGGTCTCTATCCTGCATCCATTAGAGTCAAAAGTAAGCAGGTCTTTCTAATTGATTCCTTCACAGATCAGCAAAATGGTTGATATTAGTTGTACCGTACAAAATAGACATCATGTCACAGAATATAACTAGTACGGATAGATACAAGACAAATACGAAGCAATAAGAAGGTAAACAATAGAACATACAAAACTAAAAGGGAAAGTGTTAAAAGATGAGAAAATAAACAACTGTAACATAAGATCTCCCTATGGACTTCATAAAATAAGTGTTTAGGCTCAAGAAGTAATACTTACATCACGTAATTTATTTCTAGGAAGCATGCGCAGGACAGCTTTACGAATAACTTCAGTAGGATCCTTGGACATCTGATCCTTCAAACTTCTTTCCTTGAGGTGACCCACATGCCTATACAACCAATATAGACAAGCATAAGCATAAAAGGTTTTTTTAAAAAAAAAAAACACAAGTACATCAGTACAGCATAAAATCAGACAAACTCTGATCTCAAATTCCCCACTTTGCAGACCAGTTTAGCAAACATCTAAAACCCATCTTCATTTTCCCTTCCTGCATCCTATACAACCTCCATAGGAACACACCCCTCCACCCCCACCCCCCCCCCCCCCCCCCCCAAAGAATAGTTTGAACTTTGAAACTATATCTGTACGATCACTATTACAAAGTAATCTACTAAACTTGTAAGACAAAGCATCAGACAAAGTCATTGCCATCTACGAAACTTTCTACGTTAAGCAAGTAACACTTCTGGAAAGAATTCACCACCCAGCATAGTGTAATAGACTGAACTTCTGACTTAGTATTTTCTGATTTAAAGACTAATTAAGAGATAAAAGCTTGAGACTTTGATTAATAATGGCAGAAATTTGGGTACAGAAGTGATAGATTAATAGCTTAAGGCTATTACTCTCTTGATAACTTTAGGTTATCACTCTCCTAGTAACTTGAGGTTACTACTCTCAACATTTTTCCTCATAATATACTATCTCTATTTATACTAAGGTCAAGGACTACTAACCTAAAAGTACTAGACTTCCCAAATTGCCCTTTCTAATGTTAGTCTTACACATAGTATCCATCATATTCATACCCAAGTTGTCCAAGGAGCTTACCCAGTGTGCCATCGATAATATTTATCAGTAAGTTTCCTCCCTGTAACGCAGATGTCTTTAGCATTGAGGACAATGCACATATCTCCATCATCACGATTAGGAGCATATGTAGGTTTATCTTTCCCTTGGATCACAGTAGAAATTTGAGATGCTAACCTCCCAAGCACCTAAGCAAAAGCAACAGAATAGTTACAGAAAAACCAACACAAATTCATAATACAGGACAGCACTGAGCTAAAACAATAATGTAAGCCAACGTGGAGTATTAAAAGATAGTAGATCTGAGCTTCCTTCAAAATTGGAGTAAGGGAGCCTGAAGATGGTTAAGCAAGATAGATACAATAGAGGAAAACTAAGCAGATCAATTGATTAATCATCTATTGTTTTCAAGGGCCCGACTCAAATTATAGATCTTACCCATACTTTCTATATGTTTGAAGAATGACTATTAAATATATTTTATTTCAAAGATACTGAAACTGATACTAGGATGTTTATATATAAGGATCAAACAACAAACATAACTTTCACCTAAATACTCCCTCCGCCCACGATTATCTGCACCAAACATCCTTTTTGCGGACTCCTAGACAAAACTTTTAGTGTAGTTTAATTAAGTTTAGGTGGGTTTAATTAAGTTGTAAAAAGGAGGGAAATAGGAGAGAGAAAGTGGTTCCATATGTATAATATTGTTAGTGGGTTAAAGTGAGTGGGAAATAGGAGAGAAAAAGTGGTCCCATATGTTTAAGTTTGGTAATATGGGTTTTTTTACACTTTAAAATTTACTGAAAGAGGAAAGATAAAAAATTGTTGCACATAATAGAGAGCACCTATTTTTGGCAAATGTTGCAGATAATTGTGGGCTGAGGGAGTATATAAGATTGCCAAGCTAACCTCGACAAAGTGCACATTCAATAGAAATCAATATAAAAATAGTACGTAAGTAACACCCTCATACTTCGTCACATAAAACTCAATAACCTTATAATTACTTTCCACTATAGATTACTAATATAGATGATCAAATTCATGCAACAAGAAAGAATGAAAATAATGCACAGTTTTTCAATTATCCATATGAGGCAAATTCATTTTCTGTAGATATACAGAGGGTACAGCATTGGGGAGGGGGGGGGGGATAAAATAGATCGTCACCTGGCCTTTGGCATCAAATACCCTCCAACGCAAACCATCCAAATCAATACGCCTCAAGCCAGCAAGGGCTCTCTGCAAAAAAGAAAAAGCATGGTATGTCAGCAAATGCAAATAAGTTGACTATACTACTCGAATCTGCACAGTAAATCAGAAACAACAGGGAACTGTCTCGATGAAGACAATCCCTTCAATACATTGGAAATGCAAATCAGTCTAATAGTGAACAAGCAAGGACTTTTTAAACACGCTCAAACAAGATAGCCAAACACAACTTCAGCTAAGAAATTCCAGGAACAAAATATGCCTATCAAACTCTAGTCTAAAATATTCTGTGTATGGATAAAGTATGAAAGTACTTTGAATTAAAATAAGCCCAGACTTTGCATAACCACAAGACTTGAACATCCAAATATAACCAGATACAACTGGGAATTTTCTCGATGAAGGCTATAAATACAACTTATCTCTTCAAAACATTGCAAATGCAATCAGCCCATTACTGAATGATCACAAATTCTTAAACACAATCAAGCAAGACACATAGCTAAACACAGCATCCACTACCAAATTTCAAGAGAAGATATGCCTACTAAACTATGGTTTCGAAAGATTCCTATCAGCATGACAGTACTTTGAATGAAAACAAGCCCTGACTCTGGATGCTGAAGTTTAATCGCAAAGCCTACAAATGACTCCTCAATCGACACAAATGTCGCATCAATGATCAACATTATGTTTCGACAACCGATTAGATTTCTCCATATCCTCATTCGCTAATCACCAAGAAATTCAACAAAAGCCATTCCCAAATCAATTCAAAAAGCTACCTAATTTACCAAAACACATGAATTTCTAAGCCTTACCCACTTTTCCATAGTTCAAGAAGTACAACTAACAATCATCAACCAAAGCAATGATACATCTAATTACACCACAGTTCTTTTGGGCATTTTCACAAACACATTGCGCGCATTCAATAGTGGGTCGTTTCAACTTTCAAGTACCAAAAACAACATGGGTACTTAAATTTTACCCAGAAGTCACAAAGGGTACCCCAAAAATCCCAGAATTGGAATTAATAATTTACAAATTGAAGCAAATGATAAGTAAAAGTAAAAATCAGAGGGAATAGCAGAGATTAGATTACCTTCATGTTGCTATTGAAGGCTCCTGTAACCATCTTCATATTGAATGCAAAGGTAAGAACAGATCTTGAACGAAATACAATAAGAAGGAGAAAGCAAGCTGGTTGAAGAATGGAAGGTTGCTGCTTTGAGAGGAATGTCAATTTGTTAAACCCTTGAAGAGAGAGAGAAATAGCAGCAAGGGAGAATTAGCCTGATATTCCGTATTAATTTTTATACGAGTATATAATTTAATAATTACTTCGTATATACAATTTTTCTACTTCATAGAGTATTTTTTCTCAGTAGACGTTGTAGATAAGGATGTCAATGGGGCGGGTCAAGTAGGATTCCCGCCCCATGGGTCTCGGTTTAGCAAGTGATGGGGCGGGGATGGGGATGAAAATCATACCCGCCATGGGTTGATGGGGCGGGGGTGGATTTAAGGTTGTAACCGCCCCATCCGCCCCACTTCGTATCTGCCCCATCCTCACCTTATACTCACATCTATATATCTTTTAAAACAAAATTTTATACTTTTATACTATTTTATAAAATATTTATGTAAAATAAATATTAATTATAATACTTTGTAACACACTTATATTATAAACAAAAAAATGTGTAATATTTAGAATGATTTTTTTATTGTAATCTATATTAATTATGTAGGATTGTGTATTTGAAAGGGTGGAGGTTAGGTGGGTCTTGGGTGGGGATTAGGCGATTCTTTGGCGGGGATTAGATGGGGGTGGATATCCAAGTGGAGGATGGGGCGGGGATGGTTTTGGAATTGTATCCGCCGGGACGGGGATGGGTACGAATTTTAGACCCGCTGCGGGGATGGGGATGAAAATGTTAGATGGGGATGGGGATGGGAATGCCAACATCCGCCCCGCCCCATTGACATCCCTAGTTGAGGACCTCAGGGCTCAGGCCTTAGCTGATCATGACCGGGGTGGGCCGAGAGCCTATTTTGTACACCCAAGGTCATTTTCTCATTCAATCAACAAATGAGTAAAAATATTATTTGCTCATTAAATGAGCATATGACCTTGGATGTACGGTACACCGGGTATATATAACAAATTCTACGGGGACAAGGGCAAGTGATGTGAATTGATCCCTAAATCTTTGAAATCGGTAAGGGTAATAATAATAGAGTTTTTGGGTCAAGTTCGGGTAGGATCAAAGTCATTTTCCTATTTATTCCAATAATCCTTTATTTGGTTTGTGAATAGATAGAAAAAAAAAATTCCTAGTGGTAAAACATTACAAGTGTTTTCTTAATAATGTAAAAAATATCACTATTATGCATTAAAGTAACTTTAATTTCCAATTTATTAGATTTAATATTTGAACTATCACGCACAGGTACTATGCTAATTTTATTTTATAAAACAAGAGGAGCTACATTATTCTCCATCCTCCTCACCTCCTTTTTACTTCACTAATCCATTCTCACATTTTCACTCCTTTTTTTTTTTTTTTTTGTTTGTAACAGGGGTCGTTTGGTTCACCCGGGGTAAACGAAATGGAATAAACAAAGGGAATGGAAGATTATGGAATGAAAATACCTAATATTCTCTATGTTGTTTGTTTTAAAATCAAAGGGAAACAATCCAATCAGCCCACCACCACACAACCACCTAATTCTTTCACTTTTCACCTTTTCTAGCCACCATCCGACCACCAAACAACCAGGCACAGCTTCGCCGCACCTTCTCCGCCCTTTGCCGGCCCCCGCGGAGCTCTCCCTTCCTCGAAAATCAGCCCCGAAAACCCTAGAAACATCCCTCCCCCAGAAAAACATCCTTCACTCCCTGAAAAATACGTCGTCCGACCCTCCCCCACCCTCGGGTTTCGAGGGTGGGGGAGGGTTGGCCAGCCGTTTACATTGAGGGATTATGGTTTTTACGGGGATGGGAAGAGCTGCAAGGGGAAGGGGATGGGAGGCACAGTGAGGGGAAGGGGAAGAGGGGCGCGGAGAGGGGTGGATGGACGTGGTGTGGTGGTGCGGGTTTTCGGTGATTTGGGTAGGTAGAAGGGTGGTGGTATGGTGGTGTAGTGGTGGCCAAGGAATGGTAATGGGAAAGTCTAGGGGGTGGGGAATGAATTTAGAGGGATTTTGGGGGATGAAGAAGGTAAAGGGAATGGGAAATATGGTCTAACAAACAACAACAAAGGAAATGGGGGCAGTTGATTCATATTCCCTTTGATGATTAACCCCAACCAAACGACCCTTTGTAAGGAAACAAACAAAAGAAAACTAAACAATTGTAGTTTTCTTGAATAGAATTTTCGTGAAAAACTAAACCTAAATTTTTTTGACATTCGCGTTTAGAAATATAAAATTAGGTAAATGAAGATATTGATTGAAATAATTTTACTACCGAAAATTTGTTATGTCATTAGATTTATGCCTCTCGTGCATTTATCTTTCTAATTATTTCCTTAAATAACATGGTAATCTTGTAAAAAAAACATGGTAAAAAGTTGTGTTGCAAATGTTTTTTTTTATTTTTTGAAAAATACATATGTTATTTAAACATAAAGGAAGTGTATTTTACGCACCCAAAACAAAAGATAAATAAAAATTATGCTGGGCAGGCTGAGCTTGGACTTCGAGCCTAAAATTCTACTCAAATTCGAGGATTTTTCAAAAGAATCTCAATATACATACGACAAAATAGAGCATCACCTACTCCAATTACTAATTAACCTACATACAAAACTTCACCCTTAAATTAACATCTTTTTATTCCAATTTTTGTTAATAATTTCATCTTTCTAACTTTATCTATTTTTTTTATTATTATTACGGGAGAAACGATTTACACTCAACACCACCATCATTCTTATTTATACCTAATTTAAAGGCATTTTTTAAATTTAAAATTATCAATTTATCCAAATATTAAAACAAAATTGTAGAAACAAGAAAAAGTAATTTTAATTTCTATAGTTAATTTTCAAAATGAACACAGTTTGTATATGCATTACTGATTTTAAACTTAAAAACTAGTGTGTAGCCCGGGCGTTGCACTGGTTGCTACTTTAATTAGATCTTGTGATTATCAATTATATACATTTATTTTCATGTTTATAATATAGCTTATGATTGGCTTAGATAGTTAAGTAACTATCTTTCTTATAAAAGGTTGGGTGTTCGAATCCCTTTATCATCGTTTTTTATATGAAGCAACATTCTAATTGATTGAGTAGTGATGATGTGGCATAATGAGAGATGGAGTAGGTGACTTGACGTGGTCTACGTGGCACAGAGATATTCTAAGTAACGCCTTTTAATAGATTAGTATAGATAGATTTCAAAATTGAAACTAGACAATCATATATCGAATGCACCATACATCACGTAATGACTCCCAATCCTATATCCTATTATATGTGACTCTCAATATATATTATGCCAAAGCATATTATGCTCCAGCCGTTCTTTTCATCTTATTTTATTTTGATTTTTCTTTCTTCCATACTCACTTTACTTTTTTTTTTCTTGGCTTGATTGCCCCTTTACCATCTTTGGCTCTTTTGCCATTTACCCTCACAATCATTATACTTATTCACACACTCTTAGATTTTAATTTATTCACCCTTTTTAATTCTTAGCCTCACATGTGTTTGAGGAAGCCGAGGTTACACATACACTTTGATAAACTGACAGGGTAAAGTCGTATCCCCTAATCAAAAGTAATTACCTAAGTCCTCTAACTAAAGTAGATAGGGAAGTAGGGTCGAACTACACAGGGAAACAAGTCTTTCTACTCCTAATTAATTATTATAATCTAAATTATCAAAGTAACCAATATTGTTGTAAATAAATTCTATACTACGAAGAATAAGATCGAGGGAAATAAAGTAGGGAGAAATTAAATATTAAAAGACCTAGGGCATAGGTTCACTAATAAATAATATTTCAGGGTAAAACATAACAAGCATTGATTAATAAAATTATAAAGGGCTTTCGCTACGTATTATAATCACAGAGTTAATTTACCGGTATTAAATCTCATCTGTCGAATCTCGACTTAACCATTTATAAATTAATCCGCCTATTGAAACTAAGCCTAAAAATCAATTCTCATCTGTCGAATCTCGAATTAATATTGCTAAACTCATACAATTAAATCTGGCCAAACCTAATTGCATAGCATTAAATCAATCAATAGAAAATTAACCAAGCATTGATAATCAACAATCACACAATTACCCCTTCATATTATTTATTAGATCCCCATAAACCCTAGAAATAAAACTACTCAAGTATCATCATAACTAAACTAATCAAATAAATAAAGCAAAACATAATCAAAGAAGTAAATAAAATAACTGAAATTAAAAGAGAAGAAATTGTTACCAAAAGAAATCTGGATTAATGAAAGTAATTAAGAACAAAAGTTGAGAGAGAATTTAAGAGAGAGAAAATATCCTAAGTAGAGAGAGAAAATCTAAAAGAGAAGGTAATTAGAATTTACGTACATAATTCGTACTTAAACATTCCTCAAAACAAAAATTAAAACAAATCTAATCAGCTCTAAGAAAAACACGCTCCTGATCGGGCGAAGGGCGCCCGATCAGGCCCGCCTTTTTACAACGCCCATGCTTGTATGCCGCGCCCGAGCTTACGCTCACCCGATCGGGCGCGCCTCTTCCTTGAGGGTTCTTCTGCGCGCATCCGCCTGATCGGGCGTATGCTTGCCCGATCGGGCCCGGTCTTCTTCTTCGAGGCTTAGATTTCGATTGGGCTCAATTCCTCAGCCCAATCTGGATTTCCTCATCGGGTCTTGATTAATCGATCCAATGGCCCTGGTATCTCATACCGAGCCCTTAATCACCGGCTCTCACCGATTCTGGGCTTCAAGAGTGGTTGTGTCCTTCTAGATTTCGTAGTTGATCCATGAAAAACCGGAAAAATGCTCCAAAAGTGCAATTTCCTGTAAAACACAACTAAAACTACGAAAACACTAGAAAACACAAATTAGTAATAAAAGTGGCCCTAAAGAGCCAAAAACACTACTAATTATGACCATGGGACGGGGGTAAAACACTATATAAATTGGACATATCAAACTCCCCCAAGCCAAACCTTTGCTTGTCCCTAAGAAACGAGCTCATCAATGAACATATAAACATGCCTCATCCTAATAAACAAAATCAAGCACAAACGATTCAAGATAAATCTAATGAACATGCTTC